GCCCAAGAAACACGTTACCTACTCCCACACTAATGCATTTATGAGCAGCCTGCAACAGTGAGCTAAGCTACAGAAATGACTCATGAATGCTACATAGTAAGTGGCAAAAATTGTGTAACTATGTTGTCTTTCCCCATCCAATGCATCATCAGAACCTGAGGGCAGCACTGCCATTCAGACTTGGCATGGACTGGCAAGTCAGAATGCAGCTATTTGCTTTCTTGACATACCAGGGTTGAAATATTGCTTTGATATCCTTGCAGGCAACAGCATTGGCTGATATGAACTGATGGCTAGGTGGCACAAACAGCTGTGTTTGCACAGTCCAAAGATCATAACATGTGAACCAGCCCGAGAGCTGCGTCATGACAAAAGCAATCTTGGCTCAAAATTCTTAACAAATTGTTCATTATAACAACAGTTCAATTATCCACCTCATGGTTTGCAAAGATATCCATCACAAAAAAGCACCAAGGGAACATATTTACTCACCAGTACAAAAACAGGTAATGACGTGCACCACAGATGTGTTCTCTGTGCATCATGTGGCATTAGGTTAGGTTTACTTAATTTATGCACTGTTTTCTTCCACATGAAATGCACAAGCCTGGATTTGGCAGAGTACTGATGACAGTTATTTTCATCCAGTGCTCACATTTGCTGTCTTGACATTTTGAAACCATCACCGGGCAATTTTGGTCCCATCATTAAAAATAGTCACATTCTGCACTGACTGCAATGATTTGTTGTCTATATTTGTTGATTCTTTGCATCATGCAGGAATTATTGAGATACCTATCTCACACACATTAAACTGACAAGCAACAAATAGCCTAATTGCATCAAAAACAAATTCCAGCCCCTGCTTCCTTGCCAGTTGGTCTACCAGTGTGACGTAACTTCATATTTCCTTGACGAGCCAGTCACCAATATTCAGCACATCCCTCCAGCCAATAGGTGGTCAACCAAATGTTCAAGTCACAGGAGGAATGTCTGCAAAATCAATCCTGGGGCATTTATGCATTCACTTAATGACAGAAACTATTGGTGCTCTCTGCAAGAATTGTTGAACAGTTGAATTACCTACCTCATGGCCTGCAAAGACACCCATCACAAAAAAGCACCAAGGTAACATATTTAGTCACCAGTACAAAAACAGGTGATGATATGCAACACAGACGTGTTCTCCACACAGCATCTGCCATCATGTTAGATGTTAGTTTATGCACTGTTTTCTTGCACACGGAACGCACAAACTTGGATTTAGCAGAGTAATGATAACAACTATTTTCACCCAGTGTTCACATTTGCTTTCTTGATGTTTTGACCCCATCATTGGGCAATTTCAGTCCTATCATTAAAAAAGTTCACATTCTGAGCTGACTGCAATGATATATATCTGTTGATCTGTCATATCATGCAGGAATTTTTAAGTTACCTTTCTCGCACAAATTAAACTGACAAGCAACCAGCATCCTAATTTAAGGAACATCTGCAAAAACACTCCTGGGGCCTTTAGGTCTTAACTTAATGAAAGAAACTTAGAGGCATTCTCTGCAAGAATTTCGAGCAATCCAAAAATTAAAGTGAGAAGTCAAAGCTATGTGAAATGACCATGTTATCTCCATCTGGCTTTTGGAAGCATAGAGCCTGCCCCAGATGTAAATTAATCTAACCTTTGGACGGAAAGATAACACCAACCACCGCCGACGCCTGCTGTCTGCATAGATCAAGCGCCTAACAAGGCTAAATTACGTGAGCATTTCTGTGCTGCTAGCCACTTAAGGCCCTCAAAAATTAGAGTAGTTTTAGCAGCATTGTGTCAACTTCACCTTCTTTCCCTTTTCCCTTACCATCTTGGACTTGGACCGTTTCGAGCAATAGCTAAACACCCGTGGAAAAACTGCAACACCGGACGAAGCTGAAATGGCCATGAACAGAACTGCGTGCGCCAGGCTTTTTTTGTTTAGACGTGACGGCCGATAATTCGAACGAAATCCCTTCCTGAACGGATGATCCTCTCACGGGAAGGGATTTCCTCCGGCGCACGATTCGAATCAGCGGAACGGCGCGTAAGTGTATGCATGGGCCGGATAGTTCGGATCGAGGACGGGTCCCGGCTCAATTCGAAACACAGCTGCCCATGTAAACAGGGTAATGGAGAGTTGGGTCGTTCCCCAGTTCGGCACTAAAGTAGGTGGTGAGCTCTAGCGCTGAAATCCAATCGGAATTGTATAGCATTTTAAACCAAAACGCATTCTCCCCCTTAAGAGCGGGACGATCACGTTCATCCCTGGAACCTGTGAAAGTTTTTCTCTCTTTTAGGACCTGGGTTTTTCAGAGGAATGAGACGAGGCTCTGACGCCTTTCATCATTTCAGCGCACAAACGGTCGTGAGTGCCGCTGTGACGACGTCCGGTGCGACAAAGTGCGCGATGGAGGGATACGGATGGGTTTCGTGACCAGAACGGAGGCCGACGGGACGATAGCTATGGTAGAGTTGACGGGCAGAATGCAGCGTTTATGACAGGGGTGGTAGACCCATCCAGCTACTGATGCACTTTACAAAGAATTATCTCGAGCAATAGTAATTCTTTTGTGACATTCTAAAATATTATTCGGTCAGCGAAATACTATCATAATTAGCATTACGAGAGCAAACAGCTGGCGGGAGTGCAGATGGGACGTCCTATCGAACCCTTCGAGTTCTGGCGTTAAGGTCAGCACCAGGCCAGGGATTGCCTAAGTAGTGACTATCTACCGTGACATTTGACTACCTTGATATCTGCGAAAATGAGATTCCAGACAAGCTGTTTGTGTTCAGTGTCACTGTTGCACGTGGGAGCTTAGACCACGAAGGGACGCAAACGGTGGTCTGCCAACAGCCTCATTTTCACTTTTATCGACCCGATCCGCCCTCGGAGGCACACGTGTAAAAATACGCGCGCATCAAGGTGGTCATCTTCATTTGCAACCCTATGCCAACCCCAATCAAACCATGCGTACGACGTACGTGTCGCACGTTGTGTTCGTGTACGTACGTACGCATGTACGTGTTGTTCGTTAGTGTACGTATGTTCATGTTCAGCATACATGAAAGAAAAAGAAACGGCAAAAAAGCCCGCAAAAATGTCAGTCCTTAATTCTGGGACGCTCTATGACGGCATTTGCTCTTGAACGCCGTGAGCGGCAAAGGCCGAAATCTCCGTCCGACTCGCGACCACCGCTGAAGAGAGGATCGCTGCCGAGCTCGTCGCTCCTTCCATTTGTTCGGCCTCCCCGGCTGTGTTAGCGAACTAGGCGCTGGCCTCTCTACCGATGTCTCTGCCCCCGCATCCCGTCGCTGGGACAACGGGCGGCAGGCAAACTTCCAACCTCACTGCCCTCCGGCGGAGCCGCCACTGGCGGCGAGAGAGGGCCGACGGACTGGTCTGGTGGACCGGAGGGCTCGCGCCAACGACTATCCTCCGTTCGTCGGTCCGACAGCAAGCGCGCACGCGAACGGACGTCCTGAAATATGCATGCCTCGGGACGCCTCGGGGCCAGGTATGTGGGTAGCGTTTCAAGGCCAGGCATATAACACCCAGGCATGAAGCCAGGCATGTAGCCAGGCATGTGTGTGTGTACATGATTATAGGCGTCTGCCGGTTGAGGCCAGAAAATCGTAGCGAGATGTTGTCCACATAACGCGTAGTCTCCGACGTAAGCCACCTAAAACGCCGCAAAAGGTGCATACGGATAAAACATGGCATTACATTTTCTGGTTAGCAAATAGGTAAATAGCCGATATGTTCCAGATTCGCCTGTTTCATTCGCATTTCAGACAGCAAATACCTTCATGTCCTGAATATCAAGATGGATGTTGTCCAAAAGAATACAGGGAGCGCTCTGCATCAGCTTCTGTAAATTCGAGGAGTGACATTTGTCTTGTATCACAATTTTTATTTTATTTTAAGCATTTGAAAATATATTGCAATACAGTTATATCCACAGGCTTAATCTGCAAACCAAGCCTCAAGCGTAATGAGCATTATTGAAACACACCGATTTTGAAAACCACCAAAAACGGTCAAATGTAATTGCCTTGTTGTGATGTGTCACACAGGCACGTCACATCGCGTCACATCACATCACAACACGAGAAGCTGACGTCCCAGGTAACGTAACAGTTCTCAAATTAGTGTCACATACCTGAAAGGTCGGTATGCATGTAGACCCTGCGTATTTCATCTACATTGTAAGTGCAAGGGCTAAGCTGCATGTCTCGGAACCAGAGAAAAGGGTTCGATTGCTTACGGCGCCTGCTCATGCTACAAAGGTGAGAGACAGGTGGCATCATACCCTCAGCAGCTGAGTGCGTCGTAAACCTCCAATAAAACAACTGTACATAAACTAATACATTGGCGTTTAACGCTGTCGACTCGAGAACAGGCATCTTGTCTCGGCGACCTTTGAAACAATATTTGATGGTTTAGGATGCGCAAGATCTTCCCATTCGCAGCATACCTGAGAATCAACCGGCCAACTGTTGACTATGCATGCCTTTTCCTGCAAAGCCGCTGCAGTGTACTGTTTTGCGTTGACTTTCAAGGACGTTTCATAGGCACAAGTCCTGGTAATGCGATGTGTTCAAGGATACGCGACAGTTTCGGGATAAAATATGAGAGGCCGAACAATCACATGCAGCTCAGGAATAAAAGTTTGTTAAGTTCACCCAAGCTTTGGATGTGATCGTCTTTTTGTGAACTAGCAACTGGCTATTTTAGGTTAAAGTCCCATACGAATTTTAAATATTGCCTTTGTAGCTCTAGTACACCCGCACCGCATGCAGGCAAAGCATACAGGACATTTTTTTGGTGGACCTAGTTCTGTGATCACAATCCACGCGTTGCAGAGACCAATAGAATAAATCGCCGCAAAAACTGGAAGTCATATCCAAGTCTAGAGTGCACGCGCATATCGAAAATCCGGTTTTTTGTTTAATCTGTGTGGAGTGACAAAGCAAACTTGCACACTGTTCGAAATATGAAGTTTCAATCCTTGAGCTAAAAATGGATGATATCCCAAATTACTTGCATGCTGTTTGTCCAGGCTGATACACATTCCGGAAGTCAAGATGAGGTTACCATCTATTTTCGGAAGGAGTGGTGAGTGACGACTTAAATAATTCAAATCCTCGTATCTCTGGCGGATCCGTCAATTTGATAGCTTGCAATCTACTACGATTGCTGGAATTTGAACAAACGTATCAGAAATAGCTTGAAACATTAATTGTTGTGTTAGGAGAACTTGCTCATGATGCACTGGTCACTTGTATTTAGACAATTTTTCTGCAGTACGCGATAGGATTATTGCCGATGCATATACGCAAGAAATGTGTCGTCGGCACCCACTATGTGTATCGCCATTGCTAGGTTTTTGTTACAGAAGGTAAGTTCTCACGCAATACCGGTCATTTCTTTCGGCTTGGGAACGTTTCTACCGCATGGTCTTTTCAAACTGCTACTTCAGTTTTCTCCGGGGCCTGCGATCTGAGCTCAAACTGGTGGAAGTGCACAAAGTAAGTTGGCCCCGTTTGGACAACCATAAGGACATATCGAAGTAAAACGCTTCTGATTGGTATTTACGTGCGTCGATTGAATATTCTAACGGTTGTATGCATTAATAGCAATGGCGAGTATGGGTGAGAAATAAACGCCAAATAAATGAAACCACGCGAACTGATGACGCCTGCTCTTTGGTTACAATTTGGCCGTAAATACGTGTATCCCAGTACTTCGCACGCTGGCCAATGTCAGAACGAGCACTGGGTTTTATGGGTGCCTCTAGAAGCATTCCTATTTGACCTTCTTTTCAGTTATGTCAATGGACATAAAGCCCGAGTAGGTAAAATCCTCTTGCCATTGTGATCTTACTCATTCAAGGTAATGCGAGATGTAAATGTAATGCAAGATATATTTTACGCGTTATAACTCAAAACAGCCTCGGCTGAAAAGAAGATTAAGAAATTCTTCGAAGGCATAAGACGTGAGGGCTGTAAATATATATTATTTCTAATGGCCTGAACGACCCACTGAACAGTGCCTGAATTGAGCAGCCAATTTAGATTGCAATAAGTTGCTCCATTCCTCAATTGTGGTTTGAATCACCCAAGTAAAACTAGCGAAAATCTTCCCCGAGTCAATATCCTGTTTGTGTTGTTGTAGTGCTTCGCTCCGTGCCCTTGTTGTATATTACGTGCAAACTGTCACCGTTTCAGCGTCGGCCAGGGAGCGACCGAGTGGCCTAAGGAATGTGCGACGCGTGGGACGTACACAACACCTCGGCTTCCGGTAAAAACGACGGTAGCATATAAACTGCGTACAATGTAGACTGCTTTCATTAAGTGTAAGAAACAAAGTGAAAGAGCAGAACAGATATCCCCACATCGCGGTGTCAAAGGTCGATACATGATTAATATTTGTACGGCAGCCGTTTCCCATGATAACAGGCAACCAACTCATTAGAAGGAAGAGGACGTGCTGGATGGTCGAAACATGTTCTTGGGCCAATGGTATGACATAGTTAAGTGTACTCTGGTTTCCATTGTTCCGCCTAGAGGTAACCATTCGACAATGAGACAACTTGTCAAAGAAAATGTTTTGTTTTGTGTTTCAAACTAATGACACCAGGATTTGCTCGATTGCTAAGCGTGCATGTAGAAAGCAAAATCCCGGCTTCAAGCAATCATTGGCATCCACAGAAAGCAGCTTCGAACATTCATGTGCTTCACCACCGAGGAGAAGCTAAGCCAAGGCGCAAGCGGCGATAAAAGAAAGAGGAAGCGGGGCTCGCTGTCACAGCGTCTGCGACTAACGGAATCCTCCGAGGACCAGTCGTGCTCCCTGGACGTGATGACCCAGCTGGTGCTGCGAACTAGCACGGGTACTCCGCCACCGCTGTCCACCGTCACGGACGCCGACCCGATCGATGCTCCGACCACGCAGCTGCGCCGAGGGGCTGCGCTAAGCCCCGTGCCAGCGGACAGTGTGGAGGCGTCCGTCTATCACGAGCCCTCCTCACTTACTCTGACCTCGCTCGACGAGGACCAGCTGAACGCTTACCTCAAGGTGATGTTCGAAAGATGTCGAACAGAGCCGGAGGAGCGCATCGCGGCGGAGGGTGACCCTGGCCAGTTCGACGGCGTTGAGCAGACTGCATCCGCAGACCAGCAGCCTGACGGCAACGAAGCCCTCAAACGCCCCATCGTCATTGAAGAAAAAAATGCTCAGTCGTGTCCAGGTATCACCACCGGAGAAAGCAAGCGGTGCTCTAGAAAACCGATCCTGCGCGCCCAGTGTGAAGAGCTGATTCGCCGTCATGAGGAGCTGTTCGGCCCGATAGTGATCGGTGAGCCGACACCAGCTTCTGACGCCGTCGCGTCGGCAACGGCGACGGGGAGTGAGCGTCGTCCACCGTCGCTCTCGCACTGCCTGCGCCAGCCGAGATCCGAGCTGGCCGGCTGCGAGCCGTGCCTGCCGCTGGTGCCGCTTGGGGCGCACCTGAGCATTCCGCAGGACCGCGGCCAGGGTCCTGAGTGGGCTGAGTGGCGGCACCACTTCAGCTCGGGCCCGGACGGCGTGTGGAGGATTGTCCCGCCTGCTCAGGAGGCCCCGGAGGAGGCCGAGGCAGTGGCGGACGCCGCGCCCCTGCCGGCCGACGCCGACGCCAGACCCAAGCGGTTACTCGGGTCGCTGCGGGATAGGTGCAAAGCACTGTTCCGGCACGATGAAAAGTCGGAGAAGGCTTGCGATGGGTTTGGCGACGCTTTACCGATGTCTGCCAATGCTCATGGCAGGGATCTTGGATCAGGGACGAAGCCCAGATCGGAGTTAGTAATCTCTGAAGCGAAAGCTCAAGAAATTTTAATGGAAATGAAGGACGAGGCGATCGAACTGTGCACCAGCCACCATCAGATGTGCCCGCTGGTTCAGACATCCTGCGACCCCGAGACTTACAACAGCCACTCTTTCCGTCACTGGAAGCGATTCTTCCGCCCGAGAAGTCGGGAGTGGCCTTCGACCGGGACATCCAGGGACCCAAAGGCCGTCACTTCGGGGAGCGTGGAAATCCCACGAGCTTGTAAGTACCAGACCTTGCAGAACTCCCATTTCAGTCCAATCCCACTGCCATGGCTTGGATATTACTTCGTGCACCTATGTGTTCTCCCCTTGCATCATAACTGCACTGAACCCGCAAACTCAGAAAAAGCTTGTCTGGTTGTCACAGAATAGAAAGGTGTAATAAGGTGACCTGACCTTAAACTGGCCTGAACTCAACCCAGCAAAACAACTTAGCCTGGCCTTGACCTCTGATTTCTGCTTAAGTCATAGTGCTATTCCGAAGCGCAAAACCTGCTCCTTCCTTAGGTGTAGTTTATGGAGCTCGCCGAATGATTTTATGGATACTGGGGTTCTTAAATTGTCTGAGAAGTTCGTTGTTAAGGATTTTTGCGACTTGTTGCGTCATTAGTACCGTCCCAGCGGTGGACTGACGGATTTTCGGATAATATTGATCATCGCTATCGATCGCCGGTCAATTTTGTTATCCGACCCTTGTATCATGAGGAAGCATGGGAAACAAGTATTTTGAGACTTCGTTGCTTCCACCTCTAGCTTCACCATTGATATTAACCATCTATTTCCGAGCCAAGAGACGCCACTCCTTCGTCAGCTTGCCCACATCCGTTTTTACCCAGCTACCATCTGAAGAAGCCTTTGGTTACCCGTACGGTTGACATGAAGTGTAGACTCAAAGTCCTTCATAAGGGCATGTGGGTTCTACCCTCTCGTCCACATCCGGTGTCATATATCCGAGGGGTTCTCGGCGTCGGTGCTGACACTGACGACATAACATGGATGCTTCATGAGTTACAAAAGTTAGATTGACAATTATTGCTTAATAACAACCGCCCGGTGCGTTTGCCAGTTGTTATTTGTCAGGCATGGTATTCAAAATGGGTTTCTCAACGCCTCTGTTGGCCCCCTTCTTCGAGTGTGATGCTCAACAACGTAATATATTATCAGGTATAGCAATGCTGCCATTGCAACATTGTATATACTGTAGGATAAATTCAAAACCGACAAAATAATGCATCTGTCCATACTAATCAAAAATCTGTACGTTATGGATCGAGAAAATTAGTGGCCAATGCGATATTCTGATGTACTTGCAACATTTTTCTGGCGATAGTTACGTGGCACTTGCCCACTTGCAGCAGACAATGAAATAAAATGAAATTTGATGACAAGGGCGCAGTTACTTCTGTCTCCGGTCCAAATTTGGTCGAGAACCGGTGGATGGTAAAGGATTTATTCAGCTGCTTTATCTTCCATTGTCTCTCTGTTAACGACGCACCCTCAAGTCCCACGCAAGATAGCAGGCAGTGAAATACCTCGGGCAGTATTCGATCAGCATGAGATGTGTCAAGTTTTCCGATTTCGAAACAGTTGCAAGGAACGATGCACAGATCGCACCCATTCTCATCGATGGGGCGCTGCAACGGTAACGTAAGGGTCTCCGGCTGAGGGCGCAAAGAGGGGGGGAGGGGCGTCTTAACGCGTCGGCGTTAACCACTGCGCGTCTGGGAAACCAGAGGTATGGGGTTCGATTCCCCGCGGCGCCCGCCCTTCCTGCCAGGGTGAGAGGCAGGCGATGCCATATAGCCTCAGCAGCTGAGTGCGTCGTAAAACCCCAATGACATGACACACATGAGGGCGCAAAGAGGAGATTATACCAGCAAAATGTGAGTCGACATACGCAGTCCGGGCTCTCGGGCCTTAACCGCGCATGCGCCGGACGTGGGGCGTTTGCTTAAGACTGATTTCAGATATCAGCAACTAGAGCGAATGTGAGCGTTAAACTGACTGCGTGGTGGTAGCAAACGTGCTGTCTATAAACCACTAGCCGATCGCAAGGCTGCCACGTCCATGCATATACATAGAGTATACCGGGAGTGCCGCGTCTCTTTAAGTCTGACTGCAAAAACTGTGTACCCTGCAACGTTAGCTACTGCAGACTTGTTTTCATCAAAATATGTTGCGCATGATAGTGAAAGCCACAATAGCTTTGATGCTATTTGGGCAAACGAGCATTTCTCAGAATTGAAGATGGCAGCAGCCGCAATCTTGAATGCCGGCTAATGTTCTTGTTTTGATTTGGATGACACAGCTGGTCGTGTAATATCTTACTGTCGGCATCATTGTGGGTGGTGATTCCCTTTCTAGACTTATTTTTGGGCTAAGAGGTCTGGTTCATTGGGAAGTTAGAGGTCAGATATCACACTCAGTGAAGACTTTTGACGTACAGTGTCGCCACATCTAAAGAGACCTTGAGCACAATACTACCAGTCAGCACCCGTCGCATTCCTCTCCTATCTTCCATAGTTGTCATCTCTATGCACACCTAGTTCCCCTGCATCGTCAGCAGCAGTTTTTACGTCAAAGGCCCGTGCTGTGGCTGTTGCAGCTACAGCGTACAGAATAGAATGTCCTGCTTTCAGTGATGCGGTAACAGGTAACTATATCCAGGAGTGCCACGGGAGTAACTTGAGATAGCTGGTGTGGCGACGGAGACTAACGCTATAACCGAAAGCTGTCAATATCTCTATTTTCTCTTTTTCACGGGGGGGGGGGGTGGGAAGGCGGAAGCTTGTTCGCGGGGAGGGGGAGCTAGGAGTCTAGTGGGCCAGCCGAGTCTCCCAACTTTCAGCCACATCTCCTTCGGTACCAGGAATTGGCCAGACGACGCGGTACAGAAGCTGGCCGAGATCAATCAACATCTGATCTGCTGGCACTACGGTCTCGCTGTCCGAGTGTTGCCAGGCACGCTCGGCCGCCATTAGCTCCTCTGGCACGCTGGGAAGGTGCTTCATATGTTTCACATGTCAGCTTAGGGAGCAAATACAATTTTGATGACCTGCCACGAAAAAATGCGGCAGCATTGCCTTGAGACAGTTCTGATGGAGGAAGTTGTCATTCAGCCATCAGCGCATGCCCATGAGCGCCAGCAGTATAGGCTTGAAGAGGCATTTCACTCCCGTGATTCTGGTCAGGTGCTCTCTGGATGTTTCGAGGTAGACCCCAGCTTTCGCACGTCTTGGCGCCTATTATATACAACCTCTGCAGCAGGATGGTGATAGCAGGGTGCGTCCGTTGCGACTCACCCACCACGCTATGCAGCGGCAGCGCTTCAAGCGGCCTTCCAATCTAAAAGCACCTCAGCTCCCGGCAAAGGCCCTGTCTACCGAAGAGTCACAGATTCAGCCCACTGCCCTCAGGTTCAGTCTGCAGTGAACCGTGGCATGGCTGTCTAAATGCCACAGGGCCAACAAGCCGGCCGGGGGGGACGATTTTCAATGTTCAGCATGACCGACTGGCGGCGGGCTCTGCTCTGAAGCATAAGACAATGGGGGTGTTCGGCCCGATGGTCGGCTTGCCACCTAACACGAAGACACGATTCGGTCTACGTTTGTGTGTCTCGAAAGGACACTCAGTACTCTCGGGATGTAGCACATCTATCTCACAGCCAATCTCCGCTTGTGTCATACTACATGCCTGCTCTAATCTAACGACCCTCAGCGCTGCACCAACCTCATACTTCACTCACACTGGCGTTATGAGCACTCATGATGCATGGGCGCACTTCACACAGGCATGATGCGCACTCTGATGAGTGTCCTGAGCTGTGAAGAGACACTGATGAGGGGGTGTATCGGGTGAGGGGACGATGAGGGGGGTACTGATCTGCCGTGGGCGTAAATATGAGTACAACGTTTCGTGGCGGCACCACCAGCAGGATAGGGAAGGCTCTAAGGGCACATCGCCATCATCGTCATGCTGCTGCGTGTCTTCTATTAATGGCAACAAGTCATACCAGCAGCTGAGCGAATGCCTGGAGTCAATCTGAGAGCACTTGACGGGGAGGTTGTGGGCAGGCTCTTGGGGGGGGGGGGGGGGGGGGGGAGCGGTGCGCGGGAACAGCACATGAACGATTGCATCGAGGAGCGTGATATTGAGTGTCAGCAACATGCAGATTAATCAAGCCGCTGGACACAACCGCTATGGCTCTAGCTCCAGAGGCTCCTCCACGCTTATTTACGGGTTCGCAAGGTTTGACCTGCGCCCAGTCGAGGGGTCTAGCTGTTTTTTTTTTTGGCTTAGATTGTTTCCCAGACAGCTCAGTTTCGCCTCGAAAATGGGTCGATGTGAGTCCGCAGGCTTCCTTGATTCATTGTTTCCACCATTCGGTATATAACTATAACAGCATGACTTATCAATTCAGAAATCACGTCCTGGCAGCGTTGTGTGCCACTCATAGCCTATGGCTTTGCAGCGGCAAGTTTCTGAAGGGATACTTTAGTACATCCGATCGCCCATGTCTATGCATTCATTTTATTCGCTTATAATACATGTGTCGAGCATATAACGCAAGCTCATATCATTATAGTGTGTGACACATGTAGGTACTGCAAGTTCTACCTTCACAATTCAAAAGCAGAAGACAACAAGCGGCATATATCGATCAGTAGAGACAATTTTGAAGAATCAATATCAAGTATGATCTTTGGCTTTCTAATCAACCTTTATTTTGACCCCATGCACTGAAAATAGCCGCAGGAATGAACTGCCTCCCATCGAAAATCCCTTACAAGAAAACGTTATCACGCGACTCTCTAAGCCGTTGAGATAAAACTTTGAAACTTGAATAACATGCAAGATGTCGGCGGCCATCATTTTTAAGTCTGAGAAATATCAAAATCTATCCAACTAGCAACCAAGCTAATTAGGCTCTACTAGCAACATAATACTGGTTACGTATAATATTTTCGCCGAAGGGTCTCGGTAGTTGACATTACAAGGTCTCATGTAAAAAGTAAGAGCATGGTAACTATCGTACACGTATTCAACCAAACGAAAAACATTTTCTGTATTACACGGGTCGCATATAAGGCACATGCACATACAACTATGGGATATAACACATGTAGTTTCTGTGAGTGGTACCTTTGCAAGGAGCGCGAGAAGACAATGAAATACATGTCGATCAATTGAGGTAATTTGCGTTATTTATTATCTCTTTAATCTTATATTCCCAATTTGACCTTAAATTTGACCGCGTGGTTCAAAACTAATTGCAGAAATGTACTTCCTATAACAGAAAACCACGCCAGAATGGTGTCACACGACCCTCCAAGTCAACAAGAAAAAGCTTTGCAACTTGACCTGCATTCAAGATGGCTGCTGCCACCGTCCAGAATTCCGAGAAGTTCTGAAAAGCTGCACAAGTAGCACTTAAGCTAATTCGGATCTCCTAGCTACACGGGACATTTTTCCATCAAAAACGTTCGCGGTAGTCAACATCGCAGGTTTTCATATGCTAAGCATAAGGGTAGAGACTTGACTATATAGTGAACAGAAACAAAAGGTTTCTTACTTGTTTAAGCTTCTTAAACTTTCTTTTAAGCTCCGCAGAATGCATAGGCAACAAAATGAGCACTGAGCAATAAGCAAACTGCACGTCATAATCACTTTCACTACAGCAGCGAAAAACAGGCAATTGTCGAAGAATGCCAGGCATTGTCTATGTGCCAGGTAATAATGGAGTACTGGAAGTCCCCGTGGTGCAAACGTGCTTGTGGCGTGAGTTTCACCCGTCTATTTATGCAAACCGCGCTCAAGCTTTTACCTTCGACGGACGCCGGCGACGGGCGTTGGCTACCAGTTGTCGATTGTCCTGTTGTTGGTTGCTAGATGGGTGACCTCCGGAGAGGTCAGGCTGGTCTATGGAAGCGACTTTACCGATGTTTCCGACCATGTGCCTCGTGTGACTAGACGACGTCCAGGTGATGCTGACGACAGCGAGCTCTTCCTTGTGCGCAAATGTGATGATAATCAGCAAGGGGTGTCTGCCGGTCACCGGAAGTCTTATTTCTCGGCAAGATGACGCCTTGGTGTTTGCTGAGTCACCCTTCCTTGGCTTCCGACGCCATATGGATGACAGCCGAGTTGAATCACCTGAGGGCGGTGTGGTGGCCGACTAGCGAACGGTACTTGCGTTCTGAGTACCGCCGGTGGGGCAAGCCGCCACACTTCCTGTTGACAAGCAAGTCATTGCTCACACAAGAGATCTCCATTCCGACCACCTGTGCGCGCCCGCGCTGTGCGGTGGTCGAATAATTACGGTCACAGACTGGTGCTGGGGAGAGCGCCAGGTTGTGACGAGTTTCGGACCTGAGGCGTAGGTCAGATCGCCTCGCCCCGCCCCCATCCCAAAGCGGGCGAGTCACGGCGTCATCATGGCCTACATCCTGACCTGGTTCATGATGACAACAAAGCTCGTTAAGATTTCACAAGTCTCTTGAGCGGCAGGGCTGGGCTAGAGCAACTAGACCTCTTAATTGCACTACACTTCCTCTTTCGTCCTGTGGAATGATGTGGACCGAATGATTGACTCGCTATTGATGAGTACTTATCACTCGTACCACCGTGCAAAATTAATTATAAGTGAATTTATTTTAAGAACGATTCAAAAGTTAGCAAATATCTTCAACTAACGTGAAATCATAAAAACCCCAAGAACCGTGGCCCGGCACTTGAAGAATAGTGCCCTTTTTGTATGCTCTGAATGGCTGGGTCCCTTCCAAACCCCCACTGTCCATCCAAACCTTTGGCCAAACCCACATTGACATCCAATCATAACGCTTGGAGCTCGTTGTCCCGCAATGTCGTCCTTTTCGATTCGGCCCACCGGACGCATTCCGTCCAGGACTTTCCATAGAGTCTTGCCTAGCCCGTATTGCCCCGCCTGTGTTGGCATCAGCTCGCCAAGCACCGCTGCTCGTCCAATTGCTTATTCGATGTAATGAACACACACGAAATATCGGCCCACGGATGGGGCCGATAGTCACTTCCTTCACGGTGGGAGCCGACCGATCTCGCTATTGAATGGGCTGCCCGGCAAGTGGGTGTGTTCCTGTGTGGGACAACTGTGTGGGATGGACTGATGGCACTGTTTTGCGATTTGACCCGTCACGTGTTGTCTGGGCTGACCGGCAATGCTGTTTCAGATGTGGAGCGGCTGGCGGCTGACCTGGCGTCGCGCGGTCTACCGGCGCGGGATCGGCTGCCCGTTACTGGCTGGTGGGGCACCTCGCCGCTGCTGGAGGCCGTGCTGCAGGTGGTGCCGGCCGCTACCGACGGCGCCCGCATCGCCGCCACGCTCGCCTGCCTGCGCGCGCTGAGCCGCCGCGTGCGTGACACCGGCCTGTCAGGTCTGGTGGCCTGCCTGGGCGGCGACCCGGCGGTCCGTCGCCCAGAGGACCGTCAGGCCGCTTGGCTGACGCGGCCAGAGCTGCCGCAGCTCTTCGCTGCCGCCGGCTTTCGGCCCGGCCGAGATGACGCGCTGGGTGCTGCACTTGCCGGGAGAGCAGGGGGCGCGGTCAGGGCCGTGCTGGGGGTGGACCGCGGCGGCAGATGTGCGCCGCACGCCGTTGGCGGAGACGGAGGTGCCTTGTGCGGAGGAGGCGCCGCGGTGGTGGCGGAAGGATGGATGTGCTGTGGAGCAAGAAGCGGAGACTGTGAGGAATAGCGGTACCGCTCACGCCGAGTGTCAACAAATTCAAACGGTCGAGGAGGCAACAGTAGGGTTGGAAGATGGCGAGGTCGCCCAGGGAGTGATCAATTCAGGGTCTAAATCTGTGCAAAAACGGATGGATTATTCTGTTCACGATCCCGTTGTGAAACAATCAGCTGGTCGGACTGACACCGACTCTTCGGAGCGGTGTGAGGATGACACGAGGTTTTCCTTGGGGACTACGTCAGACGATGTTGTGCTGTCCCAAATTAACATTTCCTTAATCGAAGCCACCCAGTTTTCCACTGGGTGGGAAGCCACCAACTCCAGGCACTTGGTTATCGAAAAGGTCGCTGCTAAGCCCGTTGCTGGTCCTTTTGATCAGTGCGAGGATAACGCAAGGCGATCCTCTGAGATTGATGTACACCGTGTTGTGCTGAAGCAAACAGACACTTCTTTAATCGAAACCCCTGCCACCCAGTTTCGCGCTGAGTGGGAAGCCACCAATCCAAGGCACACGGTTGTCGAAGACGTTGCTGCTAAGCTCATTGTAGAACCCTTGGATCAGTGCGAGAATAACGCAAGGCCAACCTCGGAGGCTGTCTTAGACCATCATGTGCTGAGGCAAACAGACACTTCCTTCCTAGAAATTCCAGCCATGCAGTTTTCCCCTCGCTCTGCTGCCGCTGACAATCTTCAAGACGACTCTGAAGGAATCGCCCAAAGCCCCTCCCCCGACTTTATACTGGCATCAAATATGGCGATGCCAATGTGCTCAGATGTGTGCACTTTTCTCCCGAGCACAAATGCAGACCAGGAGAGAGCTCTCAACAGACGTCCCCAGATCGAACCGAACGCGGCGTACGACGCCTACGAGACGAGGCAATGGCGCGATCTCGATTGTCACAGCGTACAATCGACGGACGACGAACAGGAAACCTTCCCTCCTCCCTCTTCCCGCCACGACCCCGTGGGCGCGTTCGACTCGGAGACGGAGCTGGGCGCGAACCTGGAGCGTATTCTGGCCAACTCGCGGAGGGTGCCGGTTGCCGCCGACTGCCACCACAGCCAGTTACGCAACTCCAGCGTGCGCCCCATCGACTCGGAGGTGGACCTGGCGCAGGTGCTGCACGAGCAGAGCGGTTACGCCGCGCTCGGCGGCGGCCAGGCGGCGCCGGCCAGCAGTGCTTACCAGGCGCTGGCGCTGCACGAGGTCGACTCAGAGACGGAGCTGGGGCTGGCGCTGCCGCCATCTGACTGCGACCGGCCATTGTCCGAGGCGGAGCACCGGCAAGTTAAGACGTACGACTCAGAGGTGGACATGGCCTCGCTAGTGGCGTCACTGCACGGCGTCGACTCGGAGACGGAGATGGCCGAGCGGCTGCGGCGGCTCGAGCACTGGACGCGCCCGTCGACGCCGCCATCGTCGCGCGACTCACCGACGCTCGAGTCGGTCGACTCGGAACTGGGCCTCGGCTCGGCGCACGGCCGCCTTGACGCGTCATCGCCGCCGCCGGGCGCGGGGCGTCGGCACGGTATCAGTCCCGAGCCGGCTTCGCCAACCGAGCGGCAGGCACCGCGCCAGACCGGCAGTGTCACCCGGCTGCCGGCCGCACCCGTACCGGTCGACTCTGAGACCGAGATGGGCGTGGTACTACGCCTCTTCGAGCAGGGCATGCTGTCGTCGCGCTACTTCGCTGGCGTGCCGCTACAGGAGGACGGCGGCGCCGAGCTCAAGCGACTGACTTCCTTCGACACGGACTTCAATATAAGCATGCAGGAGGGCCGCTCGGGGAGGCCTGCGGACAAGCATGAGAATGCAGGCAAACGACGTCTCAGCGCAAACTCCCCTGTCGCGTCGGATGCATTATGTCGCGAAGTTCACAGACACACAGCCGATGGAGATGTGCTGGCACCATGTAATCCAACTATGGATGAGATTTATGACGCTTCCAGACGGCTGTCACGATCTGTCATCAACAAGGCGCTGGCCGTGCTGGGCAACGCTGTGCCGACGTTCCCGCTCTCCCGACAGGAGAGCAGCCCGTTCGGTCCGTCCACGAGTCTCGATTGCATCGAGTTGGAGAACGAGATGTCGCCAGAGGCGGCCGACTCGAGCGGCGCCGGTGCGTGCGACCCCGGCCGCGTCGTGCCGGAGGTGAGTCTCACCACCTCTGACGGCTCGTTCGTCGTGCTGTTCCCATCGCACGCGGCCGTCGCCGCCGACTTCTTCGAAACGGAGGAACGGATGGTGGTGCGGGTGGAGCGGCGGCGGCCGGTGGCCGAGTCGCGCGGCTTCCAGCCGGCCGAGGTCGGCCTCAGCCTTTCGGAGCAGGAGGTGGGGGGCGCCACGCGTCGCCTCCGCGGTGCCGAGGCGGGGCTGCGCCGCCCGCCCAGCCCCTCACCGCGTGCGCGCGCCTCGGACGAGGGCGGCTTACGCGTCCTGTACCGCGCCACCGGTGAGGAGCCCTGGCAGCCGGTATCGCCCGAAGGCCTCTCGGGTCTAGCGCTGGCGCCGGCCGACCCCGAGCTGGCTGCCGTGCGCTGGCGCAAAAACTCGCGCGGCGAGGACGGCGACGCGGAAGCGCGGTCAGGCGGAGAGGCGGTGGCGCCGGCACCCGACCAGAGCCAGTCGCAGACCGAGGTTGTCAAGGCCAAGCCGGCGCTGCCGCCCGGTGTCGGAGCCAAGTCGTGGTGCTGACACGAGGCGGCATCGTGTTGCGCCTTCTCAGCCGCAGGACTGCCGGCGAGACGGCTGGTCACGGTGCGCTTCTGCTGTTTCCCGCCTTCCGCTGTCATAAACTGCTCGAGGCTGGTATACTTCGGGATCCGTCACGTGTTCCGGCAGGAGTAATATTTCAGTTCCGGGCTTGTTGCAAGCATTTCCTCTACTAGTGAGGGTCAGTGGAGCGTGTGGCATAGTAGACACCTCTTCTCTTATGATGGGGTGGGTGGTAATGATACCACTTCTACCCATGCGCTTCCGTCTTTTGGTGATAATCTTGGCCGTTAGTGTCCTTAACACCGAGTGAAGACCGTCCCACAATACTCAGCACCGAATGAAGCTTGTCCCACCATATTAAGAAAATGTCTCAAATGATGCAAAAATGAAAACGATAACGGCCTCAACCCTTGTAATGTGTAATAACGATGGAAATAAATCCACCAGCTACCTTCCGTCGAGCGTGTACGGTGCTGAAAACGCGGCAATTACTCGGTTTTCTTCTGCGCGATTCTCGTAGCCTGTTTTGTACCTGATGCCGATCTAGTTGAGTCCATTCCAACTGTAACTCACCGCCCATCAGGTCCTGTCTAATTTCGAGCAGCTGGTCACAATGTTATGCCGATACCGTGTTCGACTAACGGAATTGTATTCCCAAACCTAATTGCAATGATCTTTCTATTCTGTTTTCGTCAGAGGGTATTTCATTATTTCTCAAAACTTATTGTAGCACGGGCGGTTTCGTCACAACTCAGTAGATAAAGCGTTGTAAGGGGATTAAGGGTTCTAACCAATGGCTACATTGGGTGTCATACATTAAAATAGCGATGCACACAGAGCTCGATATATCGACTGTTGAAAAACCGTCCAAAACGGGACTTTATTTTGCTTCTTGCATAAAGGTTAAATCATAACAACCCCTTTTGAAAGACTTCGATTCCACTTCGGCTGGAAGAACGTTGGACTAATTCAGCTGTCAACTCCGACTCCGTACTGAGGAAAGCTTATACTTGTTTACTACGTCTGCAGTCAAATGGTGATGATTCGTGTCATGGTAGTGATCCACAACGGTACAAAGAACATCAACGGGTATGGCTTCAGGTTGACGACATTCTATCCGAAACGTATGCTGCCGAAAAGATTTAGGCAAAGGCTGGGCGGGAATTATGTGTGATGCGAGCACCAGTCATCAATATTGCTACGGCGGTTCCCAATGGGAGTCATCGCTTCTCAGGTCTGAAGAATTGTCGTGCGCACTCGTTCGAATACGCGTGGGAAAATGAGCGCCATGGTTACTTTGGGTGTAGGCCCGAGAGAAGTGGATCAGGGTGTCCCTGTTACCCCAGTGGAAGCCTCATCTCCGGCCAGCAAGTTGGTTCATTCTACATGCGATTCTTAACCCCAGTTTTGTTTATCTTATGATGGCCTATTTCTCGCTTGACCTCTCCCCAAAATGTAAACATTTCAGGTTTTATGTACGCGTGTCTGGACTTAACACGGAGCAAAAAGGAACTGAATATCTTGAGAAGAACCGCTTGTGGCTTCCAATGGTTAACAAACCTTATTGATGAAAAGTTTCCTGTTTGTGTGGTGAGACCGTCATTTGACTCCAAGCAACACACTTCGGTGAGTACGAGGGGTGTCTGCGTCACCCTACCAGACTCTAGATATGTCGTGATAACTCGCAATACTTAGCATCGGCGTCGATACTGGCGCTGTCGGAGCCTTTGTGAAGTCGTTTCACTGACAATCTTTGCTGTCGTTCGTTTGCATCTAATTTGATAAGTTATCCGTAACAGCCTGTGTCGGAAGAATTTAGCGCAAAGTTTGACGGCAAATAAAGATATTCGCCATAGATCGTAATGCAACAATTTGGTTATGAGGGTCGCCCCTGAGTCGGGCCTACGCTCCGCCCACTGCCGAGGTCAGCGCTGCCTTCAGCTGGGTCAGTCAACTTGCTCCACAGGGCACCGGGCAGTGGGAGAAAGCATTGTAACCAGAGCAGATAAAGCCAAGGATCCATTTGTACCGTGTATGCGAAGGTACCATCTACGGGCTTCCCAGCGGAACCACAGGTACGTGAATTATTGGCCAGGAAGTGACCAATGCCGCTTTTTCCGGTCCCGAACACACCAGCTGTGGCCTAAACCGAGAAACGCTGGGTCATGAAAACTGCATAGACGGAAAGACCAGTTTCTTGTGACGAATGCCTTACCAACATATTTGCTTTCAACAAGCGGGGCCACTGGCTACATGAGTGTTCCTTCGTGCTGTAGAGTAAACAGAGGACTTGGGCCATGAACACCACACAAGTGAGAGGAGGC